AATAGTAAAAAAAAAAGAAGGTAAATAAAAGATTTATCTGAAAAATCCATACAAAAAATAGACCAAGTACGAGTCAGAAAAGGAAAAATAGGATAGATTAGCTTAAGAGCTCAATTTTCCGAATCACAGTCAGCAGTTCACATGAAGTCGTCCGAAAGATTCCCGTCATCTTTTTCCTTCTGAGGTGGCGCATCCCAGTCCACATCCTCGTAGTTGCGTTGCCGCCGCGCCGCTTCTCGCTCTTCAGCTTCCTTCTGCTCCCGGGCCTACACCACCAACCATCGCTCAGGTATAGCTTCTACAAAGTGACCTAAGGAATTCTTCCTACCTTTTTCTCCTGCTCAAGTTTTCGCTGTTGTCGACGTTCCGCCATGTCTCGTTGCTCGCGCTCTTCCCTGAAAATGCCCACTTTTAACGATAAGAGTGCCTTTATCGCGATACCGGGGAGTAATGGACAGTTACAAGTCGCAAAACTACGTAGTATCCCTCATAGTGATCAAATTATCAGAATTGAACGCCGGCCTGTAGTCAATATCCTCCTTTACTTCGGTCTTATTGAGCCGATTGACGATTTCGTTGATCCGTTTCGCTACTACACATCGCTTCACTTTCTTGTGGTCATGGAATCCGATCTGAAAGCACACATAACATTTGAGCGAAGGCAACACGTTGGCACACGGTTTCAGTGCAACCCATGGACCATTAACCGAACCGGCAGGTAGGTCCGCCTTAACCGGGCGCCATTTTTTCCCTCCATCCAATGAATCAACTAGTAAGAGTTTCGGGGAGCAATCAAGCACCATCGAGCGAGATATCAAGCTCCTTCAAATGAGCCATATTCAAGAATTGGCATACCGAATAGTGACACCACCGCGCATACGTCGAGTGATCAAATCCCGAATTGATCGCCCAGGCCAACCAAGCCTTCCTTGCGGATTTCTTATGGTTTTTACAGACTCGCCTTTACTGGTCCTCGTTAGTCATTGTATTGGTTAGGTACACATGCAAATACAACGTTTTTGATAATATGTAGAATGCATGGACGCAGCTCAACCAAGGATTGATCACCATCAAAAAACTTTTCTGCAATTTCTAAACAACGATATGCCACTAGGATCTGCCTAACTATATGAGTAGTACCAGCTCAAATAACTCTAAGAATGACAAAGGAGCCTGACAGCTAGGTTTGACAGCTGCCTGTGAAAAATGCATACTTCTTTGGAATTTCTACCGTTACTTACCTGGCCCACCGCCATATCACCAGTTTTCTTCAAATTCTCCCACATTGTGTATACAATACCAACATCATGCATCTTGTTTCCTTCTATAGAATTTGCTTTCACAAGTTGGCAACAATCGTCAATCTAGGCAAAAATTTATTTCGCTCTTACTACTGTAAAATAGCCAAACTTTGACATGAACAAAAATCAAAGTGCTGAATAAAATCTCATACTCACCAATGCCTGCGGTATCGTGTCGATAGTCATACCCTTTGGTAACCGTAAATAAACGTGAGCTGAAGAAACCTTGTCAACGTGAAACCATACATCTTCTGGCCATCCATACTAAAATGTAGTAGCAATGCAAAAGATACGCAG